TATATATATATATATATATCTTATTGTGAAAATAAGAGTCGATTTTGAGAACTTGAAACAAAAATAATAATTTGTCTCGAATATCTACGTTGTCTTTTTTTTGACAGATGTGAACAAATTTTGTTAACAAAAGTTATTCAGCTACGATATGGTAGTGGGGGTTGAAAGGAGATTTTGGAGATTTCATTTTTTCAAATAAAACGATACAGTTTTTAGCCCATTGATTGATTCTCTATAAGAATTAACCAATGTTAAAAGATAGCAAAGGATAGTATCTCGTTTTGTAAAGGAGATGCTTGAATCTTAAAATTCATCGTAGACTCGGCCATGAAAAATATTTTTCAATGTTTCTACACATCACGGCAATTATTATAGGATTTTCAAGAGAGATGTCTTTTCTTTACTATTTCTGAACGTAGTGTCGAAACATCTCAGAATAAATTCAATAAAACGAACGATTCAAAAGCTTTAAAATAGGCCCTCAAAGTTTATCACTACGCGATTCCGTTTCACAAAATTATAATTAAATGTGCCCGAACATTAATGTCGAGTCGCTGTATGTCGAAAATTAAACAAATCGAATGATTGAACTACGTCCCGTAAAATTAACCGATCAACCGGTCTGTCCGGAATAATTTCGATTATCGCGATTCTTGTGACGGCGGAGTTCCGGCGGAAACGGGGGGGGAGGGGATCGAGATCGACAGAGCTCGTACGCGTTTAATGATAAATCGGTCGGATAATCGGTTGTTCGAGGCGTGCGAGCCGATACGACGAGAAATAATAGAGTTTCGCCGGCCATATCACGGCGACGTTTCAAAGGAATCGCATGAGATCGTTTGATTACGCTTACCCTCGAGACCGATGAACGCATCCGGATCCACGTGGGTAATTTGATTGCCGTCCAGCTCCAAAGAGTTTAATTGTGTCAAGTGGGCGAACACACGGGCCGGCACTTCGCGAAGCTGATTGTGCGCCAATCCTAACGAATCCAGGCTTCTCAGACCTGTTAGAGACAGATATAAAGAGAGAATCATTTTTAACACGTTCCGTGCCAAGCCATTTTTCCATTTTGTCGTCGTTCAGGCCATTTGATATTTTGACTAATGATTGATATATTATCACACAATCTTTCATTGCATCATCAATCGATAAGTAGCTCTCCCGTTTAAATATATTTTACAGAATTACATTTGTCATAAAATATATGTTTTCCACGCATTAAATGAGGGTAAAATATGACTGCGTGTACCACTGCTGGTACACGTGGCCTCTGAAGATCAAGTTCAACGTGTACCACCGGTGGTACACATGGCACGGAACGTGTTAACCCAGTAACATGTTGTCACAATTACTTTACCTCACCGAGTAGCTATCACTTACGTCCGTACTTTCATAGACATTTATTTAACCATTGTACGTGTGATCTTTTTGTCAACTCGAGAAAGTACGATGATTACAGGTACCTCAAGTTAGTTTTATTTAATTTTATATATGCAGTCTTCGAATG